TACTCGAGCGTTGCGATCGCGAATTGAGAAGTTTATCGATTATTAATGAGTTAACGTTGTGACGTCATTACTGTTCATTTAATAATAATTATTTATAAATATTTCAAATATTTCTTTCAAAAAATTAAATAATAATGAAAAAGTTAAAATCATAAAGAACAATAAAATATAATTCACGAATTTTACACGCTTAAGGAACATTCCCACTGAATGTGGCTTGATCGTTTTACTTTAAATGCGCTAATTAAATTCTCAATTTCTAAATATATATTTTATATGAAATCTTTTATTTTGAAGAAAGTGGGACAAAAATTATTGTCGGTGCAGCGCTGGAAAATATTTTGTATTAAAATGAAATGTTTGTTTTCAAAACAATTTAAATCAATAAAAAAACGTTGATATCTAAAAAAAAGCAGGAAATAATATCTCCACTCTTCTCTTAAGATGGAAACCGATTAAACTTTTCAGTTTTCAAAAGACATCGTTATAACAGTTCGGAGCGGACTCTAAAAGCACCGTGTCTGAGAACTGACACAATATTAACGAGGAAATATGTTTTCCAGCTCCTACCTTGTCTCTACACTCTAAAACAGTTTAGAGCATCTTATGACAAGGAAGAAAAAAAAATGCAATTTTACACTAAAAGTGCCGTTGTAAAACACCATCTTGGCGTAATCAAACATCAAGAATAGTTCTTACTGTCATAAAAACATCTTGAAATGCTCCTTTACAAAGCTTTTGATGTAGTTGCCACAACTTCAGTAACAATGCGATATAGTATACATAGGGTAAAGTTGTGTTCACGGTAAAATTGCATTTAAGAACAGTTAGTTTGGGATGTATACACACGCTAACTCTTAAAATGAAATTAACTGAAAACGAATTCGAAACACAAGAGGGTAGAATTTAACATTATAAGATTATTTAATACAATTGCCAGCTATTTAAAAATTAAAATCGACTTATTCTAATGACACAATTAAAAAATGAATAAATTTTGTGGTGGCAAACGTTTGTTTTTTCGATGCATAAGAGTGCAAGACAACAACAAATTAACACCATTTTGCACTTGATGGTAAACATTCTAACGATGATCTCCAAAGTACGCCAAATTGGCATGTGTGAAAAAAATAATTCAAGAATAGTGTGGATGTTCTTGAACTTGATGTTAAAATTTCCCCTTATTGGTGTTTAGATTAAACTACACCTTTTAAAGTACATGTGACTGCTCGATTTGGTGGTAATTTAAAACAGAGTATTTCTTCACTCAATGTTTTGTGCTATGCAACACCAACTGCGGAAAGATTACACTACAGCTTTTATAATGAGTGTAGCTAAACGATAATGACAATTTCCAGTACACCTGTTGATTTTAGACACGTTTCCCCTACAAATGGTTGTCATAGTAAAGAAAAACATTTAATGAATCAAGCTATATTTAAATGTTTGAAAAATTCTATGGATTAAAGATAGAGTTTTTGATGGATGTTTAGAAAATCTACCTGTGAAATATTTTTGTGAATCTAGGGAAAAAAAGTGGTGGCAATTATTTTGCACCAAAGTGATATTTCACTAAGTGTGCCACTGCATCAGAATCAAGAATAGTTACTGTTGAAGTGAAACGCCTAGAATGTTCTTTGATACTACTTGGTACAATTTATTTGGTACACATCTGTTATTAATTAACACTAAAATTTGTAATTGCTTTAAGATATGATGATCTAAATCAAAAGTCATAAATTTAGGTAGCATACATATAATATTTATTAAAATAAAATTAGTTTATTAATTAGTTTATTGCTCAAACATACGCACAGCATTAACAGGATATTAATATAAATTCAAACAAAACCAAAGTGAATATAAATTAAATATAAAATTATTTCATACAATTGACAAATTAATGTAAATATTATGAGAGTAAAACTAAAAAATTAATTTATCAGAAATCAGATAAGAAGATAAAAATAACTTTTCAAATAATCTATCTTAATTAATATTATTCATCAATCAGTAAAGAGGATTGAAACTTACTTGTTATTAAACAGGTTATGAGATCCCACAAGAGGGCCAGGGTAGCCTGGTTGGTAAGACGTTGGGATCGTGTTTGTAAGAACAGGAGTTCGAATCCCGCAGGCTGAATATATCCTATGTTTTAAATTGTGACAGGTGCACGTTAAATATGTTGAGGTCACAAAATCCTTCAAGTTCCAATAATAAATCAATTCCTCTAGGGTACTGAATTAAAGATTGGTTGCTCTTTGGTTCAGGTCAAAATTACGATCTGTGAATGAACGAAAAAATTTATGTATGTATGAATAAATTTATGAATGGGTCCACCCTGTGAAACGGGCTGTGACGTGTGTAGGGCTGAAATTGTATTCTTGGTCATAAATGACGCCACTGAAAACAAGAAGCGCACCCGTTGCTTTAAAATTAGCTTGGTTTCCCAAGCAGGCATGGAGGTATTTGGCAAGTGACGATAGAAACAACAACAACAAATCCCACAAGAAGTACACTTCATGTAAACAAATCACCATATTGTCTACAAAAATTTCACAATTATTCTCCTTTAAACTTCTGATAATTATCCAAAAGCATTTGCTAAACATGCCCTACCATGATTTCACTCAAGATTTTATAAAATAGTTTAAATCTATACTAATTATTTGCCAAATTTACGGAGCTCGTAAAAACAATACCTTCTTCACTAACCAGCTGCAGATTGGTGTAAGCTTCATTAATTATTGATGTTAAAATTTAACTACACCCTTTGATGCGTGTAAAAACTCTCGATTCGGTTTTAATTTGAAATAAAGTAATCATTCACATAAATTTTTTAGTTTTTCGACTCCAAATTCGGAGAGGTATTACTCAACAATTTTTACAGTGCAGAAAATAACCCTCAATAAAAATAATTATGTTTATTACATTAATTATAGCATTAATTTTTTCTTAAATTTATCAAAAATAATGTTTTTTTTCTTAACCTATTCAGATGAATTTGCATTTCATTCAACAAATGCTGAAAGAAGATCTTACATAGTTTCAAAAAATCCTAGCAGTGAAGAACATTATTCATCGCCAGAGCAGAGAACGACCGATTTATCTAATAAAGGAATACAGAAAAGCCAAAGTAAGTGTCACATAACATATTACTGATTATCCGGCACTTTATTACATAACTCACTCGGTTATATAACTTAATTTTCAACTTACCCGTAAATATTTTTATCGAAGATTATATCAAAAACATATTTGGAATTTCTAAATATAAATATTTTAATCCATGTTAGTAGAGAACGAAATGCTTTTCACATAGATTTATTATAATTCATGCTACGCCTTTTTACTTTGTGCTGTTGAATTAAGCTAAAACTAAAAGAATAACTAGTAAAAAATGAACAGATATTTGTCTAATTTTAATCAAGCCTGCACTGTGAAATAAAATTTTGTATATAGTAATACTAAAATGGTGACAACTATTTCAAATCAAAAATGGAAAACACCAAATGACTATTCTTAGTGTAATCAAACACGAAGGATAATCTTTGGTGTAGCGAAACACCAGAAATATACCATAATGCTTCTTTTGGTTTAAAGTAGTTGTCAACCTTTTTAGTGATTGGTGAAACCAAAATTTCTTAATGACAGTAAGATGGAACCACTTTAGAATCAGTAAAGTTATTTTTGCAATATCACTTACAATACGAACAATAAAACCTCTATAAACGAATTTTTTAAAAAAATTATCAAAAATGTATGAAACTTTTTTTCTTTTTGAGTAATTGTTATTCTACACTTTGAAAAATACTTTTTTAATGTTCAATGTTATTTTCTAATTTTTTAACAAATTTTTTAGACTTTAAAGTTCTATTAGGACTTTAATGTCTGTCGGGATTTTATGCATGACTGATGATATTTTAAGAGCAAAAATTATACCCTTAAAACGCAGAGAATAACGAAATGCTTGTGAAAATGTATTGTAATTTCTAAACATCAATCAGAAATATTAAAATGGAAACCACATTTACAATGTAATTAATTAGAAATTTTGATTATTATTCGCAATTGCAATATTTTTTTTAGCGATTGTATATTTTGTATTCAGAAGTGTTAGGATCAGATAGAATTTCAGCCTACACAATTTTAATTTCCTCAACTGTTATGTTCAGCAATCAAGCTTTATCTTCTCCAATACACATATGTATAAGAAAAGAAAATAATGAACTCATATAAAAAGAAATATCACAACTTAGTAGAGAAAGTGAATCACGCATAAATTTTCTTATAAATGTTGCAAAACCACATCAAACAACTCAACAGTATTCTCAGTGCAATTTATAAAATATTGATTGCGTCAATATAAAACCCGTCGGGACTATGAAATCCGTCCCAGGAAAAGATCAGCACAACGTAAAGTTCTAATTAAATTAAGTATTTAATACAGTGTTTGATAACTTGTTGAAAATGTTAATGAATCGATGAAAAAAAATAATAAGAGACTCACTAACAAATGAGTTCAAAATAAAAAGTAGAGAGTTGAGGAACAAAGATTAATCAAAAAAGGAGGTTTTAGGAACCAAATATCATCAACTAAGCAATGTTCAGTTTCAAATAATTGTACGCTGCCTATTGGTTATGATAATTGGAAAATTGAATTTTTGGGGAAATCCCGATGTGATATTTTGTCCCGTTTCAATGCCATACGGAATTATTATAAGTGGGACTTATAAGGCAAGGGTTAATTTAGAATGCGTTCTCTCAACAATTCCAAAAATAAAATTAGTTTGTGATACAGCCATACACACAGCATAAAGAGAACTTTAGAACAAATTCAAATTAAGCTTAATAGAACAGACACACATGAGAATTGCATATCATAAAGTCATTTAATGTAATTATTAATACATGAAATTATCTTATGAGAATTGTCTTTATTGCAACTCTAAAACATAAATGGTTTTTGTAACAGTTAAATTTCTGTTGATATTTTGCCATGTGCGAGACGATAAGGAACATACCTCGTGCTTGATAGTAAACAATCTGCCGTTGCCATCGAATGATTCGGAACGTTAGTTTTTTCGAAGACAAAAATATTTAATGAATGATGTAAATGCATGTGAGCTTGGTGTAAGCATTCTCTATTTTTGGTATGTAGATTGAAATAACGCATTTATTCTCACAATTTTTTGAGTTTTCTTTTAACATCGAATTTGAAGAGGTTTTATATCGCCCTTTTTACAGAGTGGAATCATGCTATCAAAATTTCCAGCTAGCTGGAGTGTTCAGATTAAAATTGTAGCTCTATGCCTGATGAAAATGCAAGTAGCAATTGTTTTCTGATCACTTTTGGCAGAATTCATTTGTTATTTTATTGTATTTAAACTTTTGACTACTTTCGACTAACTAGACTTCGCAAACTTTAAATTGAGCTCTTTGCCTAATTAAAATGCAAGTTCCAAAAGTTCTCTAACCGCTACAAATGGAATTTATAAGCATATAGAATTTTCACCTACTGATATTTCGACTATTTTTCTACATTTAGGAACGTAATGGACTCCAAAAAAAAAGAAGAAAATAATAAACCAAAAATGAGTTTTGAAAATGGTTTTTTCACAATAAACTTTTGCCATCACCGAAAATTCCCTCTATGTCAAAAATTGTAGCCCTTTGCCTGATGAAAATAGAAGTTCCAATAATTTTCAGACCGCTACTGGCAGCAGTGATCGCCATGTTATCTCAATTGAAATTTTGACTAACTAGTTAAATTGAGCTCTTTGTCGGAGGACAATATAAATTTCGAAAACTCTCTAACACACATAAATGAAATCTATCGTCAAATAAAATTTTCGCCCGTTGATATTTTTACCCCATTCCGACATTTAAAAAACTATTCGATGTAAAACTAAAAGAAAAAATAATAATAAAACAGAAAAAAAATGTTTTAGGAATTTTTTCGCAATAGGCTTCTTGCCATCATCTAAAATTCTTTCAATGATTTTCAAAACAGATACGTTTTCTTTTATATTTTACTTGTGACTGAAGCAAAATTATTTTCTCCTTCTTGGAAATTCACGTTTTTTTTTCTTTTTTAAAGAATGAAATAAAAAAGTCTAAGGAAAATCTATGCAATAAAAAAATCTAAGGAAGATTTTTAAAAAATTGAAAAACAAAACAAAACATAAATATTTTTGCAAAAAATATTTGAAAAATTACTCTACTAATAATTTAAAAAGTGATAATTTAACATCTATATTACTATCCATTTCAGGAAATATTCAGTTAATAAATAATTTTGTTTATTTTTCTATAGACTTTTCATCTACACCAAAGAGAACAGATATTGATTACGTTGAAGATTTATCTCTGGACAATCCTCAATCTCCGGAACATACTAAATCACAATATCCTTTAAATTTCTGGACAGGAAAACTGCCAACATATTTATCTCCGACCACAAGTGATCCTCAATGTCGCTTTCTACCGATGGTTCCATCTTTCTTGTATCCTCATATATCTGGTAACTGGCCATATGCATATTATGGCCCATCCACGACAAACACCGAAACAGCACAACTGTACGGCAACAAATCAACTTGCTTGCCAATTGAAAGAATCGATCCTATTGGACGTTTCCCGGAAGGAGACTAAAAACAGTAAAATGATCTTAATGGTCTAACACTGATACTTACAATCTCAAAGATATATCGTTCAGCAGTAGCAAATTTTTGAAAAGTCCTAACTACAGTCTCTTTTGGAGCAAATTCGTAGTTATGTTGATCTTGCAAATTTGGTCTCATGTAATTTTTTTCCCTGTAGTCCCGAATTTCCTGTATTCTGATTTTCACCTGATAATATTTATATTATAAACTATTCATATTAAGTCAATCAACTTGCAATACAAATCAACTTGCTCACCTCTTGAAAAAAATCTGTCCTATTTAATTTTTCAGACTCTCAAAAATAAAACTCTCTCTTTTCACGATTCATCAATACTTGAGCTGTATTCTGTAAATTTTGAGAATCATATTGTCACGAAATTGTGTGATTTGTGACGAAATACAAACTGTAAATATAAGACTAAAATGTTTCCTCAACTCTGAACCCTATCGCTGTACATTATGGGATAATGCTAATTAATATGAAGACTAGACGATTGAAATTAAAATGACGAAATAGGCCGACCGGATGTATGGTGGACAAGGAGTTGACCTCACCAGGAAGATACTGGGTTCCAGTCTCGCTCCGGGCATGGATGTAATTCATCGCTCTATCCTGTCTGTTTTTCTTGCGTTGTTGGAGAGATGTTCATCTAACTATGTGGTGGCCTCGAAAAAGTGATCAATAACAATACCACCCGTTAGATTCCATAAGACATTAAAGTGCCTCATGGATTTGTTTTTGGAAAAATTGGAATAGCGAAATATTTCCTTAATTTTTAAGAAATTCATTTTCTCAAGGAAGTGATGATAGCTATTTTCTCACATTGGCGAAGATTTTGCTCAGATCATATACCAGGAAACGGTTTCGTCAAAAATGAAGAAAGTTTTGCAATATTTGAATATATATTTCGTTCAATTCGCGGGAAGGGAACAAAAGCAGTATAATAATCCTGATGCTCTTTAACTGATGTAGGCTATTTCGCAGATGTATCATTCATCAGTTTCAAATTGTTTGAAAATTCAAAACTACAGTCTCTTTTGGAATAAAGTATTCATCTTGCGAATGGTTCTCTCATATATTTTTCCGTAGTCCCATATTTCCAGTATTTCGATTGTAACTCGCATCGATTATGAATCATTTAAATTTAAGTACAGAAGTATCAAAATTAAACAGCAGTGCCCCGATTTCATGATAATTGTAAAAGGATTATCGCATTCGGGCAGTTCCTTCGAAGAATGTATCATAATATACTATATTTCACACTATCAATGGATTACGATGATATTTAACAATTACAAAAAATAAACGCCATTACACTGAAGATTAATTTATGCCTAATTCTAGTTTCTGTGAATCACAGCCGACCTTAACTTTCTCGAAGCAAAAACTTAATATCGAAGAAAAATAAAATCGTTTAACTTCATATCTGTGGATAAACTTTTAGAAATTTTCAGTATCTTTGCACGCAAACCAACCATAGGCTAATTCAATGCAAAACATCTCACAGCAACCAAAAAATAAATTTTCTACTGGCAAAATCCAACAATAATGCATCGAAAATATGAAGTAAATTTTGGAAAACTGAAAAAAATTTCATTAAAACATGAAAAATGTACAGTAATGTATGAAACATTAAAAAAGATACCAAATAACTGGGCTAAAGGTCATCGGTTTTGGTTCATATACCATGCCATAGAAAAATAAATTATGGTTAAGATTTAACAACTTTATATTTCAACTAATAAATGTAGTTGTATGCATAATATACTTTCTATGCGTAATTACATATGAAGTCTTGAGTGAATCAAAGCGTCATGCGTATAAAAACGTCATTACAATAAATTAGTCACGTCTCATTTGCGTCAAATTTTTTATAAGTTGTATCAGATATCTCATCTCAGTCAAATTGTTTACAATTTCATGATGAAATACACGATCTTCGTGTCCGTTATTAAAAGTGCCAAAGAACAAGACTAAATATCATTATTGTTTCATATGACTGTTATGGGAAAAATTGATTATTAAGATTTAGAAACTTAATTGATAAGAAGTATTAAATACGTTTATTGTGCAATGTTCTGAATTTATAAAAGGATAACTATCAACTTGTAATAAAATTAAGTAAGAATTTTCATAAATACAAGCTACATTCATATGTATTTACAAAAAGTTGTTACTTCAATTAAGATGTAATTTTCTTTGGTTCATTTGTATCAAATTTTATTGCACTCTATTAGCACTACAAGCAGTTAAATCTAAAATTCCTTAAATAGTGAAGAAAATAAAAGTATCAATCTCTCAAGCATTGGTTTATTTGTGAAACAAGAATTTAAGAATTTCGGAAAAAAAAAAAGCATTTTTGCTCTACTTCTTTAAATCTAAGTTGTCATTTCAAATATGAATTATTACATTTATGAATAAAAAAGATACCAAAAATGTAATAATTGTTTTTTATGTTTTAAAAACAATAATATCAAATTGTTGAATTATGCATGTATGTAAATTGTATAGATAGCAAAATAAAAAAAGTGTGTAAAAAATCAGTCTTGACCTGATTATTAACTTTCATTCAAATTTAATGAGCATTACTCACATTTATATTAACGCAGACATAGAAGTAATTATGATCCACATAATCTGCATTAATCGAAGGGGCCATGTGGTTAATTAATAACTAAATATAAATTTCCTTGAGCAATAATACAAATTTATAAAAAATTTATTTTCTTAGAATAAGTAATACTTTGTATCCTATAGTATAAGGAGATAATAGTATAGTGACTAATAAAGATAATTTTAAGATAGTTTTATGAAAACTGTCTCTAAATCTTTGAATAAAATTTCAAATTTTAAACTTTATTTCTTGTTTTGTTTTTAATGTTTTTTTTTAGTTCCAAATTTTTAATTCTTCAAAATTTAATCCCACAAACCACACACAAGTGTTAATTACATATTACCGACAAATTTATGTATATCAATAACACCAATTTTAAAACCTGTTATAGACTTGAGAATTGAACTAAAACTTTGACGGCAAATCTCAGTTTTTGGTAAAAATCTGACTGAATTTTAACATCAAAAAGTAAAATTTAGAAATTAATTTTACATGTTTGTATCACAAAGCCCATAAATTTTGAATATCAATATTTTTCACAAAAGTCATTCTTTGAAAGGTAGCCATGGGCTTAAAGCTATAACTCTGTATGAAATTTATTGCGTAAATTTTTAATTTTATAAGGAAATTTAATTGAATTGTAATTTCATAATGGAGAATGTTGAAAATACTTTCCCTAGTTCGAATTCCAAAGCTAAACCAACATCAAGCACACCAAGCATGCCAAATAAAAAGCTATAACTTTACTATTTCCATTAGAATTAGTTATATTTAGATTTTATTATTGCTTCTTTTTTGTTAGCCCGGTCACGTGTTTTTCTTCAGATCAAAATTTCAACCTCCAACAAGCTAGAGAACCGAAATGAAAACTGCATCTCTGTATTGAATGGCAATATAAATTTCCTAAGTTCCCTGACGTTTTAAGAAAATGTGTTACAATTTATGAATAATTGAAACTACAGCTACCGTCGGACTTTGAATGTTTAAACTATAAAATAGAATTCTGAATCAAGAGATAATTTCAGTTTCAATCATTTCCTGATCAAAACAATCGAAATTTTAATATTTATCACCATATGCAATTTATCATCGATTCAAATTGCGACTTTTTCTGATTAATTAAAATATTCAAATAGGAGCTATGTGCCAAATAATTATATAAGTTTTTAGTCGTTTCCTGCTGTTATGAGCAGAATTTATGATGTTATTATAACACCAAATAAAAATTGGAGTCAATAGAAATTTCGCCCGCATTCTGACTTTGTAGGAGTTTTTGATTGAATGTTTAAATTGTATTGTTAACATCCGCACTGAATACCAATTTAAGTTTCAGTAGCTACAGTATCACGAAATACATAATTTCAGAAGTTATCCCCGAAAGTATGTTGACGTCATTAAAAATTTCGGAAACTTTAAGACTAATTATTGTTTATAACAAGACTATAGATTTCTGAAACTTTCTAAAATATATACTGCCATTATATCACCGGATAATTCAAGTCAATCAAAATTTTGACCAATCAAATGAACCGGAGTTAATTAAAATGTTGACCAGTGTTTAACGAACTCTAAAACTTTAATTTTAACTGAACAACGGTGCAAAAACGATTTACCGCCATATTATCATCAAATAGATTTACGACAGTACGCATCGCATCGATTTCGACCACTTTTCGACGTAACGAAAATCACTGGTACAAAATTAAAAAATAGAAACTACTACTAAAATAAAACTTTAAATTTTAAGCAAAATTTAAATTAAAAAGAACATTTAAGACAATCTTTTGTAAGATTAACAACATTAAACTTTTTTTTTTTTTTTTTTTTTTTTTTTTAGTGNTTTTTTTTTTTTTTTTTTTTTTTTTTTTTTTTTTGGTTCACCAATTTCATATTCTAACACCTCACTAAACTTTTCAATATAACAAATATGTTTCGAAATAAAAATCATTTCGGAATATTTTTTTTCAGAATAATATATTAAATTCCATTTTATTCCTAAAATAGAATTTAATTTCAGAATTATGCCATAATAATAATTCTAAAAACGTATCTCATGCGCTCTAAAAAATTGTATAGTAAAATTAAAAACTCAAAATTCTTTTTAAAAGAAATAACTATCTCTCTTTTTTACGTATTACATGCAACTCAGAAATGTGAGGAAAATTTTTTTTTATAAACAAGCGTTCCATACCTTTTATACTATTGAAATCGACTCTAGTATAAACATTGCAAATTCTATTTTCAAACATAGAGAGCAGCACCGTACAGAATAATGCGAGCAAAAATATCGTGAATATCCTTTTTAAAACATAGATAGCAGCACCATATAAAATGAGTAGAACACAAATATTTACCATTTTCCTCAATATTTTAAAGTTGCTTTATACAACAGTACAATATCACAAGAGTAAAGACTTTAAGAGGATGATGAGCATTAAAAATATTCTGAAATTGTTTATTTATCGCTGTATGATAATTTTTATATGCACATCATTATACCTAATGCTTGTGTGTAAGAACTTATCTATTTAAGCAATTCAAAGACGAAATCAGAAAAAGAACTTAATTTATGTGAACTATAAATTCACTCATCAAAATCACCAATAAATTTAATGAATCTGCATAAGTTAGACTTCCAATTTATACGATGAATACTATTCAGTCGCTTTAAGTCGAAAAATAACTTCTATAAATTTGTCATACTTGTGAATCAGGTTTCCAAAGATATCTCACCCGGTATCCCTTTTTCTATTCATATAGTTTTCTATTCAAATTCCCATTACCGCGCTGAAACAAAAATATGTTTTTTAATAGTTGATCTTTCTAATGTGTTAGCAGTTGCATTTTTAATCATTCCGAGTAATATCATTACTAATGGAAAAGACAGATAACAAAATAAAAACTTTTTTTTTTCATTCGAATAGCGAAGAGCAGTACATTAAGAATTCCAAGTAAAAAAAAGCTCTAAATTTTGAAATATTTTTTGGACTGTAACAGTTTTTCGCGAAATACGAAAAAAAATATGGTTACTAATACATACTACTAAGATAAATAATAAAAAAAGATTGTTAAGAAAATGGGAAATGTAAATTGATTTGGGATTCATGTTGGACCCCATTTGAGCATGTGAACTCCTATCCTTTTAATTATATCTTTATCTTGTCTCCTTTTTTCTTACTTTTTCAAGAGCAATTTACCTATTGCACGTAGAAATACAATTTGCCATGAAATGTGTCACTCGGATACTGCTTTTTAACAAGTTTTGTTTACACCTTTATTAATTTTTGATTTTTCTATCACTCTTGGCCATCGCGGTTTTTCTAGTTTTCTTTTCACATTTATTTTCCTTTTTTCATTGGCAACTTAGCAATTGCTATTTCAAGTCCCTTTTGTTTTCCTCGTTCACATCCGGCAAGTTTACCTAGTTCACATCCGGTGCCTTTTATTACAATCTTCTTTATTTACTTTTTTTTTTCTTTGAAGCATATGAAGTTTTTATATTACTAAGCCGATCTTTCAGCTTTAGTTTCTAAGGATTTTTCAATTCGTTATACCTATTGTTTCATAATTAAACAAAAAAACTATCCAAAGAGAAAAAAGAGCACAATACCTTTAGATCCCTATATCAGCGTGTATGGGAAGTATAGGCAGCCGGTGCGCAACGCCGATAAAATTGTTCTCACTATCAAGCTCCAAATTAAGGGCCCTTAGCCTCTTTGTTCTTCCTGGCCGACAAATTGGCTACAACGAACTTGCTTTTTTTTTTTTAAATATTTACTAAAATTTAAACTTTGTTTCTTTAAAATTTAAATTATGGTGGCACGGTTTTTTTTGCATAAAGTTATAATTTTAAGCAGATTTTAAAATAATTAAAATACCTGAAAACTCTTACTTAAAAATGCTAGTTGCTTCAGAATTACAAAATAATTGCTATAATATCAAACATATATCTTATGTATTTTTTTATGAATATGTGCATGTAATCACATTCTTTAATACTCGTTCAGATTATTTTAGAAAATTAAGGAAAAATAAATGCGCGCATTCAGGATTAGAAATCAAAATTCAATTAAGAAAAAAAACCTTTATAAAAAAACTTGGGGAATTATTAAAGTTGAAAATATGATAGAAGACATTAAAACCTATTTTATTGTTGGAGCAATATGCACTTATTGAGTATTTAAGCCAGTAAATACTTGATAAGTGCAGGTTTTAAGTACCCCTTATCATGTTCTCCAAACAGTTTTAAAATTTTCAGCAAGTATTTAAACTGAAACTCTAGTACTGTGTAATAAAAATTTTAAAATTTGAAGCATGGTACCATACCAGGGTTTTAAATTTCTGGCATGATTTCATGCCAAGTTTTAAAATTCCTTTATGGTTATACTGGCTCTGGTATCATTCTTACTGGCTTTTCATCCAGGTATTTTTTATAATTTTTAAATAAGAGCTGATTAATTTTGATTTGAAAACTTCACTTCCACAGTTTTGCCTAAATAACATTAATTATTAAAAAAAGTTATTGGATAAGAAAGCAGAAATTCTTATATTAAAGTTAATTAAATACACTTTAAGGCCATTCCATAAGATTTAAAAAAGAAACAGTACCATATGCGAATGGTGCGTTGTAAAAGTACCATGTCTATCTATAGTATGTTTCCGTCCCATACATTCAAGGTTTATTTATATCTGAGTGTCAGACATGCATGATGTGCTCAACTTAGAAATAAAACCTATGGCATGTTGTCATACACTTATGATACATTACAATGAAATTGCCTTACATGTATAAAACATTACCATATGAAGGAAATATGGTGTGTTTTTATTAGCTTATCATGTGTGTATGGTACTTCCCCTTAAGTTCTCCATTAGTATATGACATAATCCTATATGCTCACAATTAGTATATGGTGTGCTCCCTTGCGT